TTGAATATACGAGCAAGTAATGAAAATGAAAAAGCCTGGGAGAATCAGTTTTACGCACAGGAATTCCAGGTCTTGTTGGACCTGGACCATGAAATGTTCCGACGTGAAGTTTGAGTCCACTGCAATAAGGACCCCACCTCCACGTCGAGACAAACGGTCATTTCTAAAAAATTATGTACCGATCTGCCAAAACTTTGGAACTAAGGATGTCCGGCTTTAACCAGGTCTCGGTAAACACAATAACGTGGGACGAGAATGCGAGACTCTCAAGAAAAAGAGTGCTGAGCTTACTACACAAGCCTCTAGCATTCTGGTAAGGGATTAAAAGAGAAGAAGTTAGTTTTGTGTAGTTTTTTGATGGGTATAAGTAGAGGGGGAAGATAAAGGTGGAGATGGAGCACTGGTTTAACTACTAGGAAGAGTTATGGGGGCCTATTCTTCTTCTCAGCCTTGTACTCTTTCACAACAAAGTGCTCGAGCCAAAATTTGGCAGAGCAAAATGCTTCGAAAGGAGTCGGGGAGACGCTTATCTTGAAGGAACATATAACCCTGGCGTAAGAAAAGTTAAATTTTTCCACCTTTAAGCCGACGGCTTTTATTTTGCTTTGTTTAAAAGCGGTTACAGCATTGGATGTGAGGTCAGGGACTAGCCGCGAGACAAAAACTTGTCACTATGTTGGGACTCCCACCAGTGGTATTGACACCACATGCCTAGTACCAGTGATGACAATATCCGATGGTAAGGACGTCCATTAGCTGGTGGGAGCGAAACTGATGGGATAGTTAAGGAGTTGGGTGCGGACTCGACGGACACGGACGTTACATACATTTCTAACTGCTACTTTTCGAAGTGACTTCGGCTCCCGAATCTGCATCACCAGCAGCGATCGTTGCTCTTGGAGTAGCAAACGTAATCAACTGCTGGACTGAACGAGTGGTCGGAGTAAGTTTTCGGATGGCGGCGGACGTGAGGCAGTCGGAAGTCCCGTGGAATTAACTTCTTGCGCTTTGGAGACTCAGCCAGCAGCTGTAAATGCAAATGTACTGAAATTCAGAGAAAAAAGTACACGCGAGAAAAAGCAGCAGTGATATTCGATGCGAAATTTTGATATTTGATACATTGATCTTTTTTTACTGCGCGCTGTTTGCCGATTCGTACTCAAATAACAAAAAGTATATACCAATTAATAGTAAAAAGCATGACATGGTTTTTTTCTTTTAACGAGCGAAATAGAGAAATATTAGAATATTCCCGCTCCGAACACGGCGATACATTAAAAATTGAGGGAACAAATTTAATAATGAAGGCAGATCGAATTTAATCAGGGCATTTGAATGAAGACCGATTATAAGGAAATAATAACACTACTCAACAAAATTGAACTTTTTATTTAGGCTGTGAACCAAAATGACTTTTTCTGATAGATTTCGGGATTTAAAAATTTTTGTAGTGCTTTATTATTTTTTGTATGGTGTCTTTTTTTTAAAGATTTTTTAAAATCTGGTATGTTTTTCATTTTTTTTTTCAGAGGTAGTGCTTCTATTTTTCACATAACTTAAGTATCTTATATCTGGTTGCATATAACTTTGCAGCTCTAAAAAGCTGACAAGTGCAACAATAAATCGTACCCAGACCTTTTGTATCTGCAGCTTAACGCCTGGAAGATATTAAGTTCTCAAATTCAAATTTCATCATTTTTTTGCGATATTTTTTCCCGAAATTTTGACTTTAAAAACTCGGGAAATGTCGAAAAAAAATGATTCTTGGCCAACGACGCCTAATAAATGGGTCAATCTAAAACCAAAAATGTTTCGAAAAGAAAATACCGCAAAAAATTATGAAATTTGAATTTGAAAGCTTAATATCTTTCAACCAGATATAAGATACTAAAGTTATGTGAAAAATAGAAGCACTACCTCTAAAAAAACAAAGGAAAAAAATACCAGATTTTACAAAATCTTTAAAAAAAAATGACCCCATAAAAAAAAAATAAAAAAGTACTACAAAAATTTTAAAATCTCGAAATCTATCAGAAAAAGTCATTTTGTTTCACAGTCTAAATCAAAAGTTCAATTTTGTCGAGTGGTGTTATTTATGTTTTTTTTTTAAATATTAGGGGGAAGCCTCACTTTGATCGAGTGCCAGCCCTGATTAACAGCTTCGCTTATAAACCCTTCACGCTGTGTATGAGTTAGAGAAAGAAGAAGATGAAGAGTTACAGAAAAAACGAGAAGGAACGTGCGAGTCGCTTCTGGGGACGCGACTTTTAGAAAAAAAAAAAAAAAACATTTTACATATTTTTGCTACATCTGCTATCTACATCTACAATGTATATTCTACATTTAACATGTAGATTATACATGTTCCACTTAGATTCCGTCCTTTGTGGTGGCGGAAGAGGGCGGGGCGAAATTTTGAAACACACTTATAGCAGTGTGATATCACATGAGCCTGGAAACCAAATTTGGTTGCCCTAGCTCTTATAGTCTCTGAGATCTAGGCGTTCAACAAGACGGACAGACAGACATGGCTATATCGACTCAGCTATTGATGCTGATTAAGAATAAATATACTTTATGGGGTCGGAAATGTTTTCTTCTCTGCGTTACACACATCCACTTTTACCACAAATCTAATATACCCCTTAACTCTTTTTTGAGTACGGGTATAAATGTCAGAAACTAATATATAATATATTTTTGCTAGATGTTCCGTGAGGTTGTGAAATTGTTATTGTTATTCCGTGAGGATGTGGAACATAGCTAAGACAGGGTTGATGAATCAGCTGTGTTTTGTAAACAGTGCCAACTGTAAAATTCTGCTAAAATTAAAAAAGGAAAAAAAACACTCTGATGATGAAATGATTGTGTTGGTGGCGGCATATATTGTTGCAAAACAAAAAAGAATAATTTTCATCTCTCTTTTTGGTTTTGCGGACAGTTTTTGCACCATTCACTTCAGGAATATTTGTTGAAAATATTTTCCTGAGCTGGGTGTCAGCTGTTCTCTCAGTCCACATACGGTCCCGATAGGCAACTATCGATATAAATCTGTGGATGTCGCTCAGGTTGCTGGATACTCACTCCAGGAAAACGTAAGCGAATATTTCCTGCCACAGGTTTTTTATATGGAGTTTGACAGGAATTTTTTGATTCCGTGGTGCTGGATACTATGCTTTAAATAGGAATTCGCAATTTGTTAGTGTTTAAGTTGTGTTTGGGGAGGTACGATTTGGGTGCCATTAGAAATAAATTGTTAAAGAATATTAGGGTATACGAACACAAATTTAAAATTTAATAATATACTTAAAACATCACCAGAACTGTTTATATATTTTTCCCGCTCATACAAGTTCTTATTTAGATGCTATGTGGAATTCGTTTTGATGTCGCGAGCTCATTACCAACCGGTTATTAATCGTAAAACTATTGCGGAGCATGCTTTTTTGAGATTTAACTGTTTTATCGCATCTGTTTGCGATTTGCGATAACAGGAGTAAGGCTTTATGCCATACCTTGCCATAAAAATATTAAATATCATGTCATATCGTTGATAATCAAATCATGCTGAAGTTATTATGTATGTATGTACATATATGTAAATGGGAATCATTCGAATTTCCGTGTAAGCCATAATATTTTAATTTTCCTATAACAACTCACCCTTATTCTCCAACCTCTTCTTCTTCTTCTAACTCACACCCGACAGGGTACGTTCCTCTTCTTCTATAACATTCATACACTACAACATCTTCGCTAATGCACATTAGGGGTTCCCTCCCCCACCCAAAGCCACTTTTCTTCTTCACAGAAAATAAGATATCGTTCGGTGACCAAAAAAAAATTCCACCCCTTTTTTTTTTTGTATAAATTACTTCCGTTACAGCAATTTAGTTTGATCTGGGTTCTAGGCTACACCTCATTTGCTTCAAACATTGTAGGGCCCATTTTCGTTCCCCTTTGTTCTACTAAGCATCTAAGTTTTGTTTGAGTAAAGTTTTAAAGATCAAATGGAATTGAAACTTTTGCCAATCTATCGTTTTTATTTTTCGATCTAAGACTATTACTCAGAGACGATAGATTTACGGTCGACCGAATCAGGGATGATATTCGTATGAAACGATAAAAATCATACCTGTATTTCGGTCGACCGAAAATTTCGCAGCAGGCTTTTCACAGACCGGTACTTAGTTCGGAAAAAATACAAGTCGATAGATACTAGTAAAGCAAGCGATTGTATTTTCCAATCTCGAGCGGAATATATAAATATATTCTAGCATTCGTCGTCCAAAATACACCAAAACACGCATTAAGAATGCGAGGAAACAAGTACAAGCCAGCTACAAAGTGCAACAATGAAGACAAATTCCATTTAATTAAGGCAGATATTATTTAATAATACAGATAATATGGATATTATTTATCAATTTTATACCAGGTACTCATTTTAAACTTTTAATAGGAGATAAAAAGCATGTTGATAGCATTTCTGTCACGCAGGATTGGATTTATCCATTATTGCAGTGTACATTATCGTCCTCCAGCTCCACAACGACCACAAATAGGACATTTCTGCTTAAAAAAACACAAAACATTGGAACCGAAAAGCATGCAGATTGAACATTTTGGTCACTTTGGACACCGAGCGGAATATATAGCACTTTCGGTCGACGTAAACTTTAGCGCGTCTGAGTAATATGTTTTAACATAACAAGAATGAACATTTGGCGACTTTCCACTTTTACGGGAATGCCCTTAATGTTGTGTATTTTATAATAAAATATATCGTTTTTAGCTCATCTCTTAGTTCTAGACAATTATTTGGAATTTGAGGACTCAAATGTGACAAATGTGTTTTTGATGCGCTACCATCGAAATTTTCTGTTCATGTTTGGCCTAAAGCAAGCAATAAATTTAAGTAAATTCACATTTTTCTAATCATTATAAAGAAAATAGGAACTCTTCAATATAAGCATAAGCGTGTTTAAAACACAAGTAATATCAAATTTGACGAGGTTTTGGACGTTGAAAACGGAGGCAGTGTTTGCACTGAGCACTACCTATCATAGTAAAATTCATCAGCCGGTAAGTTCGAAATGAATAGAATTATAGACAAATGTTTAACTTTTTTTGTCTAGAAATTACGTATGTATATATGTGGAGCGTATGAATCTGCATCACCACATATTCTAGAGATAAATCAATAGGAGTTTTAAAATTTTTTTTTATTCTTGTATCGACATTCAGTTATATTCAGATGGTACTTCTGTAACCACAAAAGCCTGATAGAGATTTTGCATCGTAATAACATTTTTCAAAATGGACTGTTTGTAATATTCCGGTTGCTATGCTGGTTACATTTTTTTAATTTGATGAAAAAATAATATTAACTGTGTTTGTGTGGGTAAAAGAAAGTTATTTTCATATTTTTGAAGGTTGTCTGAAATTAGCTTGACTACTAAATAAGGATACGTATGTAGCTGAAGTTTTGTTCCACTCGCAATAAAGTTGCTTCTTAAATTAGTGCCTGTAACTTCTTACCTATCGCTGCTATGGCAGCTGCTCATTTGTTACAGTGGCCTTATCCGGCAAAAGTTATAACTAGTAGGCCTTAGATAGAACAAACTTATATATGTATGTACATACTTACAATTACAATTACAGTACAATTATTTAACGTACCGTTACTGTTGATTTGCAACTTTTGTTAAGAGTCCGGGACAATAACCTTCGCCTGGTTCTGCTCCTTACCAATCTTCTAGCGAGTACGTTCGGGTGGCTCCTAAGTTGGGTCAGGTATTTTGTTGCTTGCTCGTTAATAATGTCACCGACTGAGGGATCTCCATGATCTTTGACGATGTCTCTATTATTCAGCATTCAGCACATGTTCTGAAACACCCTGATCCTGTCCAGGTTCGTTTTAGCTGCGATACCATAGACCTGGATAGCCAGGCTGAGCTTGACCATCCTTGTGTGGCTGGCAAAGGTCAGTCGGGTGTCCAGCGTGATTCCCAGGTACTTATGTTCCTTCCGCTGGACCAACAGCTCGCCCTGAAGAAAGACCCCAGGGCACGTACCTTTCATAAGCGTGTGTGTCCCTACCACACACTGTTCCGGGTTCACACTGATATTCCACCTACATGCCCAGTTCTCAAACCTTTTAAGGTACCGCTGGAGGTTCTCCGTGGCCGTGACAGGACTGCCGTGTCTACGGCAAAAGTGGCACATCGATTGGCTGGGACGTATTGTCAACGCTAGCTTTAGGCATGTCGCGCGTGAAAAGGCTCTACAGCTGCCTTGCGGGACTCCGGCTTCAATCACCTTCACCGTGGAAACTGCTCCGCACTGTGCGACTTGAAACGTTCTGTCCTTTAGGATCCTTCCAAAGGAAGGACCGTCGTGCCAAACTCTGTCGAATGCTTGCTGGATGTCCAGGTACGCTGCTACGACGAACTGCTTCCTGTGGAAGCCATCCAAGATATGCTCCACCACCCTATGCCGCTGCTCCGGGGTACCATGCCTCAGCCTAAACCCAAATTGGTGATTAGGGATAGCTCGATTTACGGATGGGCTGTCCAATAACACTACTCGACAAAATTGAACTTATTATTTAGGTTGTGAACCAAAATGACTTTTTCTGATAGATTTCGGGATTTAAAATTTTTTATAGTACTTTATTATTTTTTTTATGGTGCAATTTTTTTTTAAAGAATTTTTAAACCATCTGGAATTTTTGTTCATGGTTTTTTTCAGAAGGTTGTGCTTTTATTTTCAATAACTAGACCTTATATCTGGTTTCATGGACATTTGCAGTTCTGAAAAGCTAACAAATGCAGCTATTAAAATCCGACCAACCTTTTGTATCTGCAGCTTAACGCATGAAAGATATTAAGCTTTTGAATTCGAATTTCATTATTTTTTGCGGTATTTTTTTTTCGTTAATTTTTTTGATTTTAAAAACTCGGGAAAAGTCGAAAAAAAAAATAATTCTTGGTCAATATTTTTGGTTTTAGATAGACGCATTAATTAGGCGTCGTCTAAGGTATTGCTCATCAAAATCTATGGATAAACGGTGGAGCTAAAATTTGTTAACCAAACCTCAAAAGTGAAAAAATAGAAAAAGAAAAAAAAAAGAAGAATTTTTTTCTTTCGACTTTTTACGAGTCTTTAAAGTCAAAACTTCGAAAAAAAAAATACCGAAAAAAATGATGAAATTTGAATTTGTAAGCTTAATATCTTCCAGGCGTTAGGCTGCAGATACAAAGTGTCTTGGTACGATTTATAGTTGCATTTGTCAGCTTTTCAGAACTGCAAAGTTCTATGCAACCAGATGTAAGATACTTAAGCTATGTGAAAAATAAAAGCTTTAATTTCAGGTAAAATTATTTTTGAATTGTTTTGGTCAAACGACTGCAAGTTGACCGTTTATCCATAGATTCTTATTAACAATACCTTAAACGACGCCTTATTAATGCACATATACACAAAAAAATAGAGGTTACAGAATATAATTTCGACTTTTTCCGAGTTTTTAAAGTAAAAATTTCTAAAAAAAAATACAACAAAAAATTATGAAATTTGAAAGCTTAATATCTTCCAGGCGTTAAGCTGCAGATACAAAAAGTCTGGGTCGGATTTATAGCTGCGTTTGTCAGCTTTTTAGAACTGAAAGTTCTATGCAACGAGTATAAAATAAAGCTTAATGAAAAATAGAAGCACTACCTCTGAAAAAAACAAACAAAAAAAATACCAGATTAAAAAAATTCTTTAAAAAAAACTACACCATAAAAAAAACCAAAATTCGTTAAAAATTTTTAGTTTTAACCCCGAAATCTATAAGAATCTAAGTTTTGGGCCACAGCCTAATTCTAGTGTTGACTACTGTAATCTGCGAAGAATGCAGATATGTGTACATATGTACACACATAAAACATGCAAGTGGGCATGGCTAGATCGATTCGATTTACCATGGTGATAAAAAATTAAACGACACACAGTGGCCAAGAAAAACAAACCCACGTGCACGTCTGCTTGGCGGGACCAAAATATATTTACTGTGCACTTTTGTCAAAGATTTATCATGTACTCATTTCTATATGGTTTTAGTCAATGTAGCTTTTTGCAACTTCAGCAATTCAAAATCTATATCGCAATTTTAGAACGGCTGGACTGATTTTCATAGTTTTTGATTTTTATACGCAGAGAAGGAAACGTTTCCGACCCCATAAAGTATATATATTCTTGATCAGCATCAATAGCCGTGTCGATATACCCATGTCTGTCTGCCTAGTTCTCAGACACTATAAGAGCTAGAGCAACACAATTTTGTTTCCAGACTCATGTGGTATCACACTGCCACAAGTGTATTTCAAAATTTCGCCCCGCAAGCTTTAAATTTCAGAATCAAATCGTTGATGCACTCCAATCAGCCACAGCAGCCACTAATTATAGAACTGAATTAAAACTGAGGGCGGGCTCGGTAGTCATCATGCTTCGAAATCTAAACCCACCAAAACTATACAATGGAACTGATGAGTAATGTGATTTACGCGACGATACTCAAATGAAAATTTAAAGATGAGTTAGTCCTTATTCCGAGGATTTCAATGATCCAAACGGATATACCCATTGAGTTTAAACTAATTCAGTTCCCGATTCAACTTGCCTTTGCCATGACGATAAATCAATCACAAGGCCAATCCTTGACTGTTTGTGGACTAAACTTAAAAAAACCTATGTTTTTCTCATGGCCAGTTGTACGTTGTTCTTGCGCCTGATAAAAAAACAAAAAATTGTGTATGTAGAACGACCTTGTTGTTCAATGAAGATCTGATTTAGATTCCATTTAAATAATCATATTGAAATTTGAACTATTTATGTTTTATTATCACTGAAGTTTATGTATAGGTGTTAAATTGGGGCGAAACGAGGTTCGCCGGGTCCGCTAGTTGTCTATAAAACTGAGATTTGAGTCGTGAATTGCAAAGATTTCTTTCTAATAGTGGAAAAGTACTCAGATTAATTCGGAACAAAAAGGGTCTGGACATTGTCAACATGAATATTTTCAGATTGCCCTTTACAAGAAGCCATTATCCTCGAAACTTGAATATGTCTGAAATAGCAAACCGCTTATTCAAATGAAAATATTTATGTATAAGCCAAATGTTTTACGACAGAATTCACTGCAAGGCATTCAACTTTTTCATTATATATTTAAGAAGCACCGACATAGATTTTTTGTAATAATATACATACTCTATTTGTGTATACGGGTCACATTTTGGCGAGAGCTGATCAGATTAGGACTTATGTGTAACTTATACATTTTCCTCTCTTTTCCTATGAGCGTGAACTGCGACTCTTTGTCTTTGGAATTTTGAGCCAGCGACAGGGGGCTAAAGTTCGAGCTATCTCCCGCAACTCATGCCGGCTAGTATATCCTTACAATTCGACTAACAACTCGACTACCTTCGCCTAATATCTTTAGGAATTTTTGCTAGTGCGTGTTCACCTCTAAGGTCAAAACTAGACGATAGCCTATAAATTTAAGAATAAATTAAATTAAATTATAAATTAACGAAGATTTGACATTAATAGTAAAAGTATTGAAGGAAAACAAGTGGAAAAGTGTAACAACAATTACGGCAAAAGCTACGGAAAGATTAATGGGCAGAGTAATAAGTAAGAGTTGTAGATGGAGAGGAAAGTAATGCCTAGTCGGGCGGGACAGCAATAATAAGGCTACGGAGGACAATGAAATCGACCTCACCAGAGAGAAGTTTGTGGAGATCCTACGGCTTACGAAAGAGTAGATATTAATGAGACGCAGCCTACTCTCATAAAAGGAAAATGTCGAGAAGGGTCCCAATTAAATATCAATTAAGTATCAAATATGCTGCGATGGAATTTCAGGACGTTACATTTGGAAATGTGAAGAGAAAGCATGTTTATTAAGCACCAATTGTTGAGGGCGTAAAAATCATATTGAAGAAATAAGGGGACCACATATAGGAAAGACATAACTTCACATCATCAGCATACATTAGAACTCGAAAATTTGACAGATGACTTAATGATGCATTGAC